AGAGAGAGAGAGAGAGAGAGAGAGAGAGAGAGAGAGAGAGAGAGAGAGAGAGAGGAATGAACTGACGAACGGACTGATGGAGGGGAGCGACCGGCCGAGCAAGCGAGTGAGCGGCCAACAGATAGACACCCAGAGAGACAGAAAGACAGATGCGCACCGACAGACAGGCAGAGGTACTGATAGACAGACATATCTAACAGACAGGGGAAGGGCCCATCAACAGGACAGGTCCTGGCGAACCCATGAGGTTCTAATGGAAAGAACTGGACAAAAAGGAGCACCAAAAATATCAAATGGAAAAAGAAGGGTGAAAACAAGCAACTGTACGGAAAATAAATGAAAACCTTTTTCTTGTCCAGTACCTCGATGGCATGAGTCCTGTGGCCACTTTGAAGTTCATAAGCTCAGTAAGCTGTTGATCAATTGCTCTACATGTGCACCTTTCATCCTTCGGGCAGACTCCTGTTGCTGCTACTATTTTCTTTGCCTCTTTGGAGGAGGCAAAAGAGTGATGCTGAAGGTTGTGACTACGTAGTTATGTTTTCTATGCACGTTGTGTCCTCCCCAAGATGTAATGCCTCCGACAATGTGCTGCCTGTTGAGTTCATTCACTTGACTGTTCTCCTACTCTGTTGAGACAGTCAACTGAATGGCATGACCCAAGACTTTCGCCTATCCTTTTCCTCAGATAGAATCATAGACGTGATACAACAACTGATCTAACTTAGTGCTTTCTTCTTCTTTTCTCTTTTTTTTGTTGCTCAGATGCTGATCTGTACAAGGGACGTTTGCTTCCACCCACTTTGTTGCCAATGCATGATGTGGTTTCTGTTCAGAATCCATGCCCACACCCCTGCGTGTTCAAGCTACCTGATAAGAGCAGTAGACGGGGTTATAAGGCTTGGTCATTGGCTGATTGGCTGATTGGATGGATGGGTGGATGGATGGATGGATTATTCGATGTCAAGCAGTTGTTTCTGCCGCTGTGTTTCTCGCCTCAGCCATAGTCTTCGATAGCAAAGTCCGCGTCGTCATCTGTGCCTCTCTCTATCATGGCAGTCTTGGTGTCCAACGCAGGATTTGTCTGTGGTTTGCTCCCTGACCTGTCTGCTGGCATTACCAAAAGCTGCTGTACTGCTTGCTGCGGCTCCTTTTCAACATCTAGAATGCTGTGTCCTTTTGAGCCTTGAGCAACCCGCAGATGGTCACTGCTATCTGACAGGTGTGATGCTCCAAGCTTCGGTGTTTTAAAGTGAATCTGCTCGCATAGTCCTCTGATTAGCATCTTAAGCTTTGATACTTCCGGTGAGTCTCGATTTAGCTCCAAAGTTGATGGGTCCCATTGCAACTCCTCTCTGACTGCTGTCATCGATGTCCCATTCAGTAGATACGTCAGGGTGAAGAGTGTTCGCTCTTCCCAGCTCTGTACGCCAGCCGAAGCAACAAAACCCCACACGCCAATCAACATTGTGTTCAGGAAAATCTGATGTTAGAAGCTGGGGTAGAGTAATAGGGTACAAGTTCCGTACAACCAAACTACAACAAGCAGAGGTCTATTCGAAATTTTCATCGATGTGAGATTCTCTTATGCACAGTGTCGCATTGCCTTCTGTACTCTCTTTTGTTCAAAGTGCGATGCTGGACCCGGCTTCCAGCACATGTTGCTCCCCACGAATAAGATCGGAGCCATCCTAATGGGTTAACAATTTAACAACCCTTTCACCAGGCAGGACGGGTTCACTCTGTGTCATGTATGATCATATGATGTTAAAAAAAAGGGGCAATCGTGTTTTTTTTCTTTTTTCTTTTTTCTTTTTAATTTGGACCACTTCTCTCCTCTTTTTTTTTTTGTTGGACCATTTCTCGATTTGTGTGTGTCATCCTTGCACAGGAGCCGTGCTAAACTTCTCTGTATCGTTCCAATTTCAACGGATATCCTGGAAGACGGGTGCGGGGGGGGGAGCGCAGTGGTGTTCCAGCCCCAAAATAAGTTTGTATCTGGCAGGCCCCTGCGCGGAGCCTGAAAGGAATATTTGGGAAGGGCAAGTTGACGGTCCTTCGGCCATACGGAAGGAAGCATGAGTGTGTATAGCACTGTATGCTATGTATTTCAATTTGACTTGCCGGGGGAATAGGAACCGGACTGATGCTCCCCGGAATGGACAAGGAGCCAGGACCATAAAGACCTGTTTAGTAAATAAAACAGAAAAAAAAAAAAAGTTTGTAGTGGCAAACAAACCTTGCAGTCAGCAGATTCATCCTGGCCTGAGTTTGGGAGGCAAAAAGAACTCAGGCCGGCAAATTTGCTCCACCATGCAGTTTCCTGAGCATTCAAAAAGTGAAAACAGGCAGCAGCCTTGAGATATCATGGTCCAACTGAGCCGCCCCAGGTAATTCAGAATTACTTTATCTCATTCATCTAGTTGCATCTGGACTCCAACTCAGGTGTGTACTTCAATTTTCAACAGTTCATTGGTGTTCCAACCGAGCCACGCCCTGTGGTCCCTGAGCATTTTTGTTTGGAGTCTTTGGACCTTACTTTCCTTTAATTTTCCCCTTTTGAAAGGGTGATGGGTCGCTGATGGCCTTGAGGTATCATCATTCAGCGGATCAGCCCCAGGTAATCTGGAGATGTAAGTGGATTCAAATCTGGGTCTGTTAATTAGCAGTTCAAAGGCATGCCATTCAGCCAGTGAACCGCACCTCCTCTTCTCTTCTTCCTTCTCCCCTTTCTTCCTCATGCCCCTCACTTGCATGCCTCCCTCCTTAGCCGTGGAACTATAAATTCCACAAGCGCAATCTCTCCATCTCTCTCCATCTCTCTCCATCTGTGTGTGTGTGTGTGTGTGTGTGTGTGTGTGTGTGTGTCCCCAATATATCCCATGGCGTACTCGCCATTTATCCCATGGAACCCATGGTACATCCCGCCCTGCCGCAACCAAACTAACACTGTATGTTACCACTCTACTAACTCTCTGGAGCTACCCCGTACAATGCGTACATACGTGGTTATCCATGATCAGCTTTCCGAACTGCCAAACAGAAGGCATGGGGGAGGCGGGAGGGCAGACAATGTGCAAGCACACCAGCAGGCAAAGTCCCAAAAAAATGCCAAGACCAGGCATACAAGAAAAACATCAGAGCAAAGCAAGCAAAAGGACATCAAGGCATAGGCTGGAGGGCACAGGGGAGGCGAGAGGGCAGACAACATGCAAGAACACGAAACAGGCACACAAGCACACCAAGGCAGGCAAACCGAAAAAAATACAAGTCCCAAGTAAATCGAAGGACCGAAAAAAATAAACTGATGGTGACAAGATTGTTTCATTGGAGTTGCACCGACTCATCAGGAGGCTGAACCCTCGACAATCTGCAGAATCGCCCGTATTTGATGGTTTGGGTCATGAACCCTTTGACCCATGTTGAAGGTAGGCTGTCCCCAAGCGGGACATAGCAGCGAGCAACAACCCTGCAGAGCACCAGGCAACGCAGCAGAGGCAGCCCAACTGCTTATCACCAAAGACGACTGCAAGGAACGACTTGGCAAGCGGACGAGCAGCTCATCAACCGTGTGGTGAAGCGCAAGGCAACATCAGCAAGGTGACCAGACTACAAGGCACGCAAGCAAGTAAAGGACGCAGAAGGCCAACAGAGCAAGAAGACGAGCAGCTCGGCAACCGTGCAGTGAACCACAAGGCACCACCAACGAGGCAACCAAACTACACGGCATGCAAGCAAAGGACACTGAAGGCCGACAGAGCACACGGACAAGCAGCTTAGCAACCGTGCAGTGAAACGTGAGGCACCACCACACGGCACGCGAGTAAAAGACACGGGAGGCACGGCCCGCGGATAGGCGGCAAGGCAGCAGAGCAGCGAGGACGACCTGCAAAGCAAGCAGCATGGGCAGCAAGGCAGCGCCAGAGCGCAGACAAGACAGTCTACACATCCAACACGGAGCAAAGCAGCACATGACCTACTCACATCACGATTGAACCCCGCAGACTGTTGGTTCCCACCACCCGCTGAGCCAGGGAGACACTCCGACGACCATCCGTCATCACCGATAGGCAACACAGACATCCCGAACCGAGCGCCCCCCCTAAGAGTGCAGTTGGCACTCCAAACGAGGAACCACCGACTGTTTGGCACTGCTAGAGGGTGCTCGGCTAGAGACACAAAAAGTACTTAGAAACAATAAGGGAGAGGAAAAACAAACATACCTAAAGCTGATTGTGTGTGTGTGTTGGAGTAGCCGGATCAGGTGGATTGGTTAGATTCTGAAGGTTAATTGGCAAGTCAGACAGTTCTGACATGCTGGCTCAAGATCAAGCACAGGTTGGTATGCACGGGTCATTTTGAGGCCCGTGACGTTTTCAGCCTGAAAGCCTGAAAACAAGGGCCTACAGGCCCTGTGTCGTTTCAGCCTGAAAGCCTGAAAACAAGGCCCTACAGGCCCTGTGTCATTTCAGCCTAAAACAGGGCCCTCCAGGCCCTGAGTCTTTTCAGCCTGAAACGGAGGGCCATTTTCAGGCCCTCATAAGACTGGCCTGCCCTGAAACTTAGGCACCAGACTAGGGTTTTAGCACAGGCCATTTTGGGCCTGTTTTCAAGACAACCTTTGGTTGAGCTTCAACGCCAGGGTCTGGCACGTTTTGGCATTGGCAAGAACAGCCTCCTGGACGGGCCAGCACTATATAGAACTGGTCAACCAGGCCTTAATCTGATTCCTCATCACAGGATATGTGTCTAGCTTTTCCAAGAGGCGCAAAGTGTTGATTCGATCAAAGCATTTCGCAATGTCGGCGTCAAGCACATATTTGGCTCTAATGGCTCTAGCCAGAGCTTCCATGGCATCTTGACAACTACGTCCTGGCCTAAATCCATAAGAGTGAGGTTCAAAACGGGCTTCCCATTCGGGTTCTAGAACCATTTTAGATAATGCCTGTTTAGCTCGATCCGCAAGAAAAAGGAAGTGGTTGCGTCCCGTCCAAGTTTGGCCCTGACTTCACTGCATCAGCAGACGATGAGAGAGCGGGATTGGTGACATTTGGATCCAGACTCGGCATTGGGCTTCAGACATTTTGACGAGGGATTATTTGGGACTTGTGGTGTTGACGACATTCCCATCTCCCCCCCCTCTTCTTCGTCTGATTCCCTCCTCTTCGTCTGTGCATGATCTGGACCTGGCGCATTCTTCCTGTGTGTAGCGCCAGGCCCCTTCACACCGTGTGATGAGGATGATGTTTGGTCTGCGTTGCGACATTGATTGGGCTAGTCATTGGTATTCCAGCATTCTGCTGCGCTGTCTTGCACTACGTGATAGAGGTCAGTCCCGGTCAGGTCAGGACTTATATTTAAGTCTTCCACTGCGCTACAAAGCACCATTTTTGTATGTATCAGGATGTACACTGCTTGTTGAGATTCCACTAGCACTGAATTGTCCATTCAGTCCTTTTCATCACATTGCGGATCCTTGGTTATATATGTACATCGCCCAACTGGGCAAGTAACATCAGAGCAGCAGGCAACAAACATGCAGAGCCCCCAACCCAGTACATATCCGATGACATACATTCAGCATACAGCAGGCAACATACATGCAGAGGTCCCAACCCCCAGACACCCCTCCAACCCCAGCACCCCCCACCCAGACCAACCCCCCCACCCACCCCCCGAAACCAAAATTTTATTGTGGATTCGGGCTCCTCTCGCCGAGTGCAGAATGACCCCGGTTTCAAAACTAAAAAATAAAAATTCTGGCCGGTCTTTTGGCCCACCCGGTTTACCCGGGTGGCCCCCCCGGGCCCAACCGGCCGTGCAGTGTCCTTACTCAGGTTTTTTTTTTTTTTTTTTTTTTTTTTTTTTTTTTTTTTTTTTTTTTTTAAGGCGTAAAAGAAAGGGGTGACTCAGGTAAGGGTTCGAGCCTCCAACGAGGGTACCCTCGTAGGTTTGTTGGAGGTTCGAACCCCTTACCTGAGTCACCCCCTCCTCTTACCCTCATTGGAGGCTTGAGCACTGATGTGGCTGCTGCGGGGTTCCCCGTAATACTATAATGACAATTGAAAAAAGGCCTGAAGGCCATCCTGTCCGGATTCGACAGGTAAGTGATCGGTTGGGCTTACAAAAATTAGCCTTCCAAAAAAAAAAAAAAAAAAAAAAAAAAAAAAAAAAAAAAAAAAAAAGGTAAGGGGTTCGGGGGTGGGGGTCTTGGCCCCGGGGGGGGGGGGGGGGGTAGTCCAGGAAAGTTCTGAGACAGGGCCAGATTGGTCTAGTGGTTGTCTTGGAGGCTGGGGCTGTGGCTCTTCCGTTTTTGGATCATGCTGCAGAAGAGCTGCAATTGTTGTAACATTGTATGGGGAAGGGGTACATAGAACCTTGAGATCGGGCAATGCTTCCGCTTTCATTATTCCAATGTCCAATTTTTCCATGTGATCTTGGCTTCATTGGTCGCTTCACATATCCTCCTCTGGGGTTGTATCCATATGAGTCTAGACTCCAAAGCTTTGGAAGTTTGGATGGCGTTCTTCTGTAGCTTGTGCGTCGTTTTGACAACTGAGTGAGTTCCTCCTTCAGGTGTTTCCACGCTTTGTGAGTTCTCACTGTTATCATGTTATGGCTTCTGTTACTTCCATTGAGGCTTGTGGAAAGCCGAAGGAAAACTCCTGTCTTTCAAAAGAGCCTGATGAGGTCGCCAGAAGGAAATGCGGTAGCCTACCAGATTTTTTTTTCCATGCAAAGGCCAGTAATCACCATAAATCGCCCACTAGCACTGACGGGTGCTTAAAAAAAAAAAAAAAAAAAAAAAAATTTGCCCCCTCCCGTACCAAGCAAGGTCCACCAAAGCCAGGGCAACCTTGCCCTCCTCCCTTTCCCCACCCCAGATTGAGGACAGACCATTGTTCGCACTGTATATTCTGGACGGTGGCTGAGATGATCATCTGAGCAGGAGGCAGAAGGATGATTGCGACAGGTTGTCGCATGCCTCGCACTCAATGCGTTCACTGTGAAAGTAAAGTCTCGTGCATTGAGTTCAATTTGCAGTTGCTCATTACTATGTAGTCTCACCTCAGACATGTGGGCTCACCTGATCTGAGCATTCATCGACCAAAGGCGACAGGTAACCTTCAAGAGCATCGAAGCTGTCTTCATCTAGTCCAAACCGATGCCTGCAGCCAACAGAACACTGCTGCATAATTTTAGAGCTCTGTCTTTCTGGCTATGCTTACTTCTTTTGAAACAAAGATACATGTGGTCAGCTTCGGGCGTACTTACACAGGCACCATCTTAAATGTCTCCGACGGCATTTAAGGAAAGATGTATCTGGCCGCAGTTACGTCTAGGAATGTAAAAAAGTCGTAGGGTCTTGTCAGGCACTCCTTAGCAGTCCTAAAGAAATTAGGACTACCGTCTTCACCCGAATAGAACGCCTGGTCATTATAGCTGTATTTGGCACAACTTTCAGTCCAGATGCAGCGATAATTACCGGGCGTTCTAGTACGGTGAAGACGGTATTCCTGAGGAAAAATTAGGATTTTCAGCGCCCTGGTTAGACTATTCCTAAAAATGCATCTTTAGCCTGGGGCCCGGCCCCCAACCGGGTGCCCTGCCCGGCCAGGCCGCCCTCTGCCGGTCACCCGGGCGGCCTGGATCCCCACTCAGTCTTTAGGACAATTCCTTGCAAAGATGTTGTTGACAAACAAGAAAGGGAACAAAAAAAAGTTGTGCTTCAGCCTTTCATCCAATAGGGCACCGCCACACTCCACTACATCTATGCCCTCTCCGCTCCATGAAATGCGGTACCTGAAATTTCAAAGAACACAACGAGGTCCTTCGAAAATCGGGATGATTTGGCTGGGGATTCCTACATTTTTTAAGACTGGTCCTTCAGGCGTTTTCACTTTTTTTTCAAGGATTCAACTTTCTAGGAATAGTCAAAAACTACGGCGGCGTATCTTTCCATGTTCTAGCAGAAGATTCAGTCTTTTTTTTTTTTTTTTTTAAGGCTGTCCCGGCAGTCACTAGTGTGGGTGATATGAGCAGCCTCCACCAGTGCCCCTTAGCACCTGCTGGAAACCGGGTCCAGCGTCCCTTCTCATTTAGCACATTTGGTGCACGGAGGAGCGAGGCCCAATACTTCACAAATCTGAGGAATGTTCAAATCTCAAAAGTGTGGTCCTGCGTGATTGTCAAACGCTGCCTACATTGCAAACAGAGGCCTTGGCCGGACCACTCTCGAAGTGAAAAACATTCGAGTGCATGTCCCCCTAGAGAGTGACAAGATGCATCCCTTACTATGAATAATAACGCACGCATCTTGCCACTTTCTGAAAAACATTCAAGTGCATGTCCCCCTAGAGAGTGGCAAGATGCATCCCTTACTATGAATAGTAACGACTGTAACGCATGCATCTTGCCTCTTTCTGCGGAAGATTTCGAGAGTAGTGTGGTGAGGCCCATATACCTAGGATATTCCATCCCATGCCATTTCTCTCTCTCGCTCCCTGTTGTCATGCATGTTCCATTTCGGTATCTCTGTAGCTCAGATCTCTTTACTTACCACCCTCTGCCGCTCTAAGCGCCATGACACACTCTTGCACATTTGGCAAGATGCCGCTATAATGACCCCACTGCCTATTGAGAGGAAGATTTGGGGCTTGTGTCCCTGTATAATACAGACAGGACAATCTCTCCCTCGACCAAGAGAGAAGATCGTTCACTTACTGATATTCAAATGATAACTTTGAAGACTGAAGTGGAGAAGGATTTCATGTGACCAGCGCTTGGACATGGATTAGTTGGCCCCAAGAGATGTGGAAACCTTGTATCGAGGACACATTGTGCACCACACATCAAATGGGAAGGATGGAGGAAAAAACAAAAGAAAAGATTGTTCACTTACCGGATCAGGAAGAGGAGAAGGTGTGTCCCACAACTTAGATTGTTACTAGCATCTTGCAAGATCTTCTGAGCATCCGCGACATCATCACCTGCCTTTGATACCTGAGAATACGCTTCCTGATCACAAGGTATTTCAATGGATGGATGGACTGTAAATTATTTTCACAGATAAACCCCAAATGCTATGAAAGGACAATGTTATCAAGCCACGACCCAATGGAGCCATCACACTTGAGTGCTTTCTTTGATGCATACACATTATCTATGCATGCAATCCTAATTGGAGATATCGAATTGCGTTTTCCTTTTTTTTTTGGGAGGGGCAAGTATGTTGATGTCACAACCGAGTTTCGGATCGGCAGAAAAAACATGTGCCGACAAAACAAACAGCCGCCGAGTTCAAAAAAGCAATGAAAGTAGCGCGGACGTGACAGAGACACAGAGGCACAGGTGTCATAATGACAGGGGCAGAACATGGTGCCAGACAGGAAAAAGGGGGGGGGGGGGGGGGG